ATATATATATATATATATATATATATATATATATATATATATATATATATATATATATATAACAAAAAACTGAACGGAGAGATGCTTCAAAAATATGAGAAGATGAATTTAGTGTGAACTTACAGTTTAAAATATCAGGTGATGGAAGTCTTCAATATGAATGAATGAATGAACAAGAATGGCAGCTCAAATATAAGGAATGGAAGCAGCGGTTGACCCAAGTCAAATTCATATGAGAAAGTTACACTTGTAGTCCCTTAACATTAGAAGAAAATCTGATTTTATCCATTTATATGAACAATTTACAATTTAGTCCTCAGCTTTGGAAGAAAATCTGATTTTATCCATTTGGATGTTTTCGTTGTTGATCGTCTAAATGAAAACCATTGGAAAAACGAGGATTTGAAGAAGCTTAACGTTTGATTCGTCACAAAAGTCAGTAGGTAATTTAAATCAGTGACATATTACCCAAGTATTCTTTGGGTGATTTGTCAGTATTTTCTTGAAAACATCAGATTCTACCAAACTGTTTGTATTTTCTGGGTGATCCATCCGTAATCACTAACGAAAATTTCTTTGGGAGATTTTTGTGGGTAAAAGTCATTTGTTTTGTAGTGATATGCTTCCATCTCTTTGTTATTAAGGAATGCTTGAAAACCATAGGAGAAAAGAAAAGATAGAGGTTGTTAAGAAGCAGATACCTGAGTTCGAATCCAGATGCTGCCAAACCCCTTGTGATCACGGAGGTTCTCCTGCGATGACTTTTTGTCACGTAAACTCAACTTTTACTAAAGTGTTTATATGGGAAGATTACGCTTTCGGACCCACCCGACCTACAAATTGTGCAATTATATTTAATCAAAATAATTGGCAACACTTTTTTGGAAATTTCATTTGTTGTTTCCATGAAACTTCCCTTCTACAGTAATGTTGACTTACTTTACACAATTATGTGAATCCAAATTATTTTAAAAATAATTTAATAAAAACTTCCATAATTTATCTATTAGACATATACATATTTTTTTTAAGAGTGTCCGGGCCAAAGCCCGACTAATCCCCGGCAAATTTGGAGGCTAAACATGGCCCCACTTAAATGTCGCCAACACTCCCCTTCCAGGGCTCGAACTCGGGTTAATGACTATGTCATGCTCGAGCCTTTACCACTAGGCTGGAAGGTCTTTGACACATATTTTGACTCATTATTGATGAATCGGTCATTTTATAATTTACTGTTAATTTGTTGTCAGATTAACAGATGAGTTGAATGAAAGTTAATTTGAATTTAAGTATTTATATGAAAAGATCGCACTTTTAAGACCCACCGACCCCCAAATCTTGCAATTGGTAAATTAGAACTTTTTGGAAATTTCATTCGTTGTTCCTACGAAACATCCATTAAAAAGATGTTGACTTACTTTCTACAATTTGGTGAATCCAAATCATTCAAAAATAGATTTTTTTTATTAACTTGGATATCCAATTCGCTATGTGAGCCGACTAATTCCAGGACGACCATATGTTTTGCAGATAGCCCGGAGTCACCGCATATGAATCTACGTGGCCACAAGGGGATTTTTGTTCCTTTTTGGATTTGAACTTGAGACCTCCTGGTACTTTTGACCTTTGGAGCCAAGCTCAAACCAATCAGACACCACCCTTGTGAAGCAAAACTCAAAAAAAGATTTGGTCATATTATATGTTGATTTTTTGGATTTGATCCTAGGTTTCATTTATTAGATAGATCAATACCTTGTGATATGTACTTTTTAGTGGATTTGGTCCTCTATCAAAACCACCATCCAAAATATCTTTTAACTTGAGGGCAAAAATCTTAAGAAAATTGTAAAATCAAGCAAGAAAAACGTAAATTTTATTTTATTCTTCACGTCCAAGGTGGACTTACATTTGTTTGTGGTGGGGATTTTCGCCAATTTTTGCCCGTTGGTCCAAAAGGAACTAAAGGTGACATCATTGATGCTTCTCTCAGTTCATCCTACTTATGGCCATATTTCAACGTTCTTGAGCTTAACCAAAATATAAGGCTATATGCTGGAGATATACCGGAATCTAAAGCTTGTAAAATAGATTCTTTTGACAAGTAGTTGTTGCAGCTAGGAGATGGTTCTCTGTACGATAACATTCAAAGAGTGTTAATCAAACTTCCATCCGATATCGCCCTAAACCAATGGGAGGACCCAATTCAATGCACGATTCAACTTGTGTATCCATCGTTGTTGGATAATTTTGACAACATGCATGAAAGAAAGAGCGATACTGACACCAAAAAATGAAATGGTTCATGATTTGAACAACATAATTATGGACATGCCTACCAGGAGAAGGTGTCAACTACCTCAGTTCTGATAATGTGTGCAAAGCAAGTATACAAACTAATGAAGAAGATCTTTTTTATCCATTAGAATTTTTGCACAGTTTAAAATTCAATGGTGTCTGAAACCATGACATTCAACTAAAAGAAGGAGCTCCAATAGTGCTTCTTAGAAATCTAAATCAATCAGAGGGGTTATGCAATGGCACAAGATTGATTTTCACGAAAATTGGGAAATGGTCCATCAAAGCAGATATTATTTCTGGAACACATGTGGCAAAAATGTCACAATTCCAAGAATAATCATATCCCCAAATGAAACAAGATGGTCATTCAAGCTCAATAGGCGTCAGTTTCCTTTGGCAACATGCTTTGCCATGACAATTAATAAAAGTCAAGGACAATCTCTATGCCATGTTGGCTTGTATCTCCCGAACCAAGTGTTTACCCATGGCCAACTGTATGTTGATGTATCACGAGTTACATCATGTGAAGGGTTGGTCATACTAAATGCCGACAATGAGATTGAAGATCCAAACTTCATTAAAAATATTGGTTTTTCAAGGAAGTCTTCCAAACCATTTCTTCAACAACTCATGATCTCCAGGTACAACATCCTCAAGATATATAGTAACTATCAAATATTTCTTAACTATAACACTGACACAATATATAAACTAATAATTTTCATTAAATGACTTTTTCTACAGGAAAACGAGTCTGTCATCTAGCGACTGATTTTCAACCATGTCACAAGTTTATTGAATTGTTCATGATAGAAAGTAATATTTGGTTCTCTCACCTAATAATATACCGAACTGACAATAATTATTTATACATTATACTTTTATTTCTCACATGCAGTATATTACACGACTATATTGTTCTTATAATAAGACAACCAAAAGCATGAATGTTAGTCCTAAATCTACCAAATTAATGTATTTTCTACCATTTCACAGTGTGTTCATAACAAAATCTGATATCTAAACTTCTCACCTAATAATTCCTTAAATTGCATACTCGATCACAGCCTAAAATTCTTTCACACTACATCTCCATTTTCCCCGATCCTATATATTGCAACTCTCTTTATGCTTAAAAAAAACAAACATTCGAACATACAATTCTACCATAATTATTGTGATACTTTTACCTTTTTATATTTAATTCAAACTTCTCGATGTTTTTCTTCATTAAATAACAACGACTGCACGAAACACGGTAAAATTACCTAGCGTATATAAAGGAAGACATTGGAGAGGGAATTAAAGAAAAACCTCCATTACTATTTATCTTTTTTCGTTGAATTTTTTGATTTATTTTGATTTATAGTGACTCATTAAATGAACAACTTTTTATTTTTTAATTACTTTTTATTTTTATTTTACTTACTTACGTATCATTATAATTAGGGGTGTTCAAAAACCTGACCAACTCGTTCAACTCAAAGCGAAATAACTCAACCCGAAGCAACCCGATGTCTAATCGAATTGTAAAATTGTCAAATCGTAGGTATCGGATTGATATTGAGTTACTATTATTTGAACTCAACCCAACCCGATGAACMCGATATCCTTTTATTTCTTGGATTTAATATGATTGTTAAATTTCTACTAATATATATACATTAGACAATTACACTATCATGTATGCTCTTCATATACACATATTTTCAATTTATTCACATCTCTATATAACTCATTCGTATAGATATTCAGTAACTATGAACATATATATGTAAATTGAAAATTAACTGAATGTGTGATATACGTAAGAAGTATGGATAAGTTGTATCAAATGATTGATAATGAAAAAAAATTATGAGTAAGAAAATAACATATTTAAGGTTAGAAGAATATTTTGATGTACTAAAGTATCAACCTGATCAACCCGATCAACCCGACCAACCCGTACGGGTTGGGTTGGGTTGTACTTTGGTTTGGGTTAAGATTTTTCAAACCGCAAACATTGGATTGAGTTGTTCAAATGTCTTCAACCCGATCAACCCAACCCATGAGCACCCCTAATTATAATTAAAAACTTTTATATTAATGTATATTTTCTTATTTACACAACAATCAATATAATTAGATACTTTAAAAAAAAAGTTAACATATAATAATTATAATGTAACAATTTTATAAATCAAATATTTTACTAAATTTATAAGATTATAAATTTTTATTTATTTATTCAATAATGCAACATTCAAATATTTTTTATTTATTTAATTATTTTTTTGTTAATATGTTAAAGATGTTTATAAATCATAATTCATGATTTTATTTTTTTAATTATTTTTTTAGTATAATAAGTTTATATTTGTTATAACCGGGTTGTTCTTAAATTCTATTTGAAAGTCTGGGGTTGTTTTTGTAAGGTTGTCAAAAGTTGAGGGATGTATTGTTAATAATTGGTTTAAAAGCTTTGACCGACGGAGAATTGTCGACCGTTGATTGGATTCAAACTACACCCTCCCGTTCATGTCTGCAATTACTGATGGACCAAAAAGCTTACAACACCTACAATGGCGGATTTTGTGAAAAAACTGAAGGATCGAATTCATTTGGAGCGTATAAATAACCCGTTTCTGTAACGTAAATTGTTTGAATTCCCCCTTTTGTGCATTGCACGTTGAATCAAAGGTAAGGGGGAACTGCGGAGGTTTGTCGATCTTCCTGGCAGTTCCTTCTTCATTCTGGTGTGGGTTTTTTGCCCTAAAAGATGAAGGGACTCTTCAGATCCAAGCCTCTTACACCTGTTGAGCTTGTTCATCAGATCCACCATCTTCTCACCTACACTTTCCCCAATTCCGATGTTAAAGATTACAAGCGCCAAGAAAAGATTCGTGAATTAACAAGACTCATTCATGAAATGAAGATCGTGCTTTATGGCGACGACATGTCAGAACCAGCAACAGAGCCTTGTGCAAAGTTGACACAGGAGTTCTTCAAGGAAGACATATTGCGACTTCTAATCTTATATCTTCCCAACTTGGATCCTGGGGTCCGTCAAGATGTCACTCATGTGGTTGCAAATCTTCAAAGGCAACGTGTTAATGGAAGATACGTTGCTGCTGAGTATTTGGAGAAAAACACAGATATTTTGGACATGTTGATACCTGGCTACGATGACCCAGAAACCGCTATCTCGTTTGGTGCAATCTTAAGAGATTGCATTCGACATCAAGTCGTTGCAAAGTATATCTTGGAATCGGATCACATGAAGACGTTCTTCGACTATCAACACGATCCGAACTTCGACGTAGCTTCGGATGCAGCAGCAACGTTTAAGGAGCTGTTAACCAGGCACAAATCAACCGTTGCTGAATATCTTAACAAAAACTACGATTGGTTCTTCATGGAGTATAACAAGTTGCTGGAATCATCCAACTACATCACCAGACGAAACGCTGTCCAGCTGTTAGGAGCCATGTTACTGGATCGTTCGAACACTGCTGTGATGGTTCGCTACGTGAGTTCATTGGACAACATGAGGATTCTCATGAATCTTCTCCGGGATTCAAACAAGCAGATACAGTTGCAAGCTTTCCATGTGTTCAAGCTTTTCCCTGCAAATCAGAACAAACCCCAGGATATCGTGAACGTGCTGGTTGCGAACAGAAGCAAACTGCTTCGGTTCTTCAAGGACTTCACTTTTGATAAAGTGGATGAGCAATTTGAAGCAGACAAAGCTCAGGTGATCAAGGAGATTGAAAGCCTTGTGCCCAGATGTTTGACATGCTCGAGCTTTAAGAACTGCGAAGGACTTTCGTGCTAATGTTGTTGTTGACGATTGCTGTCAACCATGGCGTTTTGGTCGTCCTTTTAGCTGTCTTGTTTCATGGGAAAAATTGTAGAAAATGTGGGTATTATTTATCTTTGTTTTGTATTTGGCTATTGTTTTTGGCCACATGAATATATCGGATGTAATGTTCACATTTGTTTTTGCAACTGAATCAGGTTTTTGAAAAAAAAAATTGTTGGGTGATTGACCAACATCTTCCTAAATCGAAATGTAACATTAACTGTTACGCTATGATGAAATAAGTTGTCTTCTCCAATAACAATTGCTTTTGGAATAGTGGTAAGCACTTGGATCCTAAAATGTGGTTTAGAACAGGTCACCGGTTCGAATCTCATAAAGTGCATAATAATGATCTATTGTAAACATGTTTAATTTCTGATATTATAATTTTTAGTAAATATATTTGATTAAATTTATAATGTTTAAATGATAAAAATATTAAAATTAAAACTACAATATTGTAATAGAAAGTGATGATGTTATACTAAAGTAATTTTGAAAGTACAATGCTACAATAAGAAATATCATGTCAACATTATCGTATACGCGGACAGCTTACTTGGATGATAAGATGACAAAGAAACATGGTATAATGAGTAAATTAAATTTAAAAAGTTATCCAATACTATAACGGGTAGATTTTTGAAAGTATGATGTTCTAATAAAAAAATATTTTAAAAATACAATAATATAATAAAAAAATTTATAAAAATAGATTACGTCTTACTCTATAAAAAAATTTAAACATATATTAATATAATACTACCAACTTATTTCTAATATTGACAATAAACAAATAAACGGAAATTGATCCATATTTATCGTGTCATTATTCTTATCACAAATACCCTTTTGGTACACAACTACGACAAATATATAATTCAAAAAATTAAATAAATAAAATTAAGAACATTGTGTTTGAGATTGCTTATAAAAACAACTTATTGATTTATTCCGGTATGGCACCGGTAATAAACATTTTTTAGTGTTTAGATAAACAACTTATACCGGTATCAAACCGGTGAAAATGAGTTTTTAAAGAAGTTAAACTCTTCTGACTTATAATAAGTTGAAAACTGCTTTTATAGAAAAACATAAGTCATTTCAAATAAGCAATCCAAACACCCCCCTAAAACCAACGAAATTCAAAAAACAGCCTCCTGAAGAATGTAGCAATGTGATTTTCACAGGAATAGTGGTATCTTCTCGAGCTTCCACACGTGTAGCAAAATTTAGTTCCACATCTGTAATAAATTACCACATAAAACATGTTAATAATTTTAGAAGGTGTTTGATTAGAGGTATTAAACAGTAATTAATGAGAATGAAAATAAAAGAAATTGTTTAGTTTCTTTATATAATATAATGAGCTCATTCTTCCAGAGGCCGAAATTCTGATTCAAGGTTAAACTGTCATTTTCATTTTCATTTCTCTGACCGAATCAAACACCCTCTTATACCTTTTAAGTACCAAAAATAAGTTGTGAAGTATAAAGACTAAAATATAATGAATTATCAAATATAAGGATGAAAATTGTAATTTAAAAATATAGGGACGAAAATAAGAAAAATTAACAAATCACAGGGACTAAAAATGTAATTTACTCAATAAGGAGAAAACCAACCTGCAACGAACAGTGTTGCACCCACGAACGCGCTCGATACAGTGCCTGCAACTAGGGCACCTCATCCATCCATTCCACATCGAGATGATGCTAAAAGAGATGTCGTTTAGATACCTCGTTACCCAACTCTCCTTGCACCTATGCGCATCGTGCCATGGGACCTTGCATCGGAAACAAAATGGTTTACTGCAATCAGGGCACACACATCTCTTCAGATTACGATTACCACACTCGTTTAAAATCAATGCCGAACATTCTTGGTTAGTGCAGTAAACCCTGTCAATCTTTAGCACTGCGGATTCGCATAACAAATCGCACCATTTGTCGAACAGTTGGTGTGCAATTTTGGGTCGGCATGATAAGGGTTCCAGAGAGTGATTGCAGGTTATATCCGGGCATTTGATGTCTGATACGTTGTCATTGAGCTTTACTTGGATGTATTTCATCACGCATTCGGTGCAAAAGGGGTGGATGCATTTGTTGCTGTTCTTGAATTTGTTGTTGGGGAGTGTTACTGGTTCCATGCAAATCTTGCAGGTGAATGCTTCTTCTTCTTCATCCTGTTTAGGGTTATCTGAATTTGGTTGGGGTTTTTTATTACGATTCCCCATTATCAAAATAAAAAGCTTTTTTGTGAAATTTTTGGTTGATGACATTTATAAGCAGTAACAACCAACTAAAATTTAGGATAATGAAGATCAAATCCATATCCGATATCAGCAAGAATTTCGTATGGATATCTTTGAATATGAATCTATATTTACCGATTGTAACCGAATACTCATTTGATTAACTATTTTTAGGCTAAAGTCCTCTGGGAAAATTTTGAAATCAATAAACATGGCGAAAGAATCTGCAGAGAAGCACCTTGCGATCAACGTAAGCGTCTCCGGTGAGTTCTAATTTCTGGTTGTAACAGTGGCCGGAGAGATTGAACCTTTGAAGATTGTTCTTCAGCCACCGCCAACGGCGGTGCCCCCTTTACCCCCCGCCTTTTGATAGTACCGGAATCAATCTAGTTTTATACAAGTGTGCGTTCCATACCTCCTAACTTGCATAAAAATTACGTAAAGATCCCTTTTTATCTCTCGTATATTTACTCTGTACACCAAATGAAACCGGTGACACTAAAATCACCAACAAGACTTACTCTCTAAAACGAGTCTTTGAGGAGAGAAAATGGAAGTTCCAACATATATGATTGTGAAATGGTTAAAGTCTAGCCAATATGGGCTTCTAACAAGCCCTTTCCAACATAGGTTAACAGGAAAAAAAAATTACCAAGAATGTCGAGTCTCTAGAGTAATAAACATTAACTCTGATACAATATGAGAATGTGTGAAACCCCCAAACTTATTCTCCAAAAAAAACACTTCAGAAAAGATTGAAAATTCCAACATATATAGATGTAATAGTTTAAGGGGTTATTCGGTTTATTTTATGTTAAGACTTGTATGGATATAGTTGTTTGTATATTAACAGATAAATTGTTGTTTGGTTGCTGAATAGACAATCTGAATGTTAGAAATGACCATTTTACTCTTCAGGCCTTTGCCTAAAACTCTCTCATCTTTGTTCTGATGGATCTTCACACGGTATTGTCATTTCGAAAACCACAGAGAGAAATCGAAAACCTAGAAGAAGAAACCATGGGAAGCAATCGAAAACTATAGGAAGAAATCGAAAACCTTTGTAAGAACAAACCATAGGAAGAAATCGAATCACAAGGAGAAATGATTTTCATCTAGAACTTGGAAGTGTGAACTGGATCAAGAAAAGAGTGGTTGATTGCATATAAAGGGAGAAGAAGACGAAATAAGGGGAAGGGTAAAAAGGGAATAAATGGGAAAATAAATGGTTGAATGTATATGACTTTATTTTTGTAGCTGAGCGATTCAGCCATGGGCTGACCAAATAAGCTCATATCGAACAGTTATATATGGTTGTGCGAATAACCCATATGGCTTATACAGCCCATTAAGCCGCAACCGAACAACCCTAGATCTAGCCTAGTTCCAATAATTAGAGTTTAAAATACATTTTAGAAATTTACTTTTTTAGTATTTTAATATTATTTCAAAATATATTTTTAATTTGATTTTATATAATATGATATAAATCGTAATCGCTTGAGAGTTGAGACCTTTTTCTAAAGATTAAAAGAGATGAAGATAAGATGGTTGAATGGTAGAAAGAGATCACTGGGGGCATGAAAGTGACAATATTGGACCAAATATAAGGTCTATATTTACCAAATCACAAACTAAAAAAATATTTAATTTTAAATATTTAAATATTTCGATCATAATTATTTAAGAAGCCATAAAACATTGTGAAACAAATATATGTTAATTAATTATATTAAATACCATCTTTAAAAGAAAAAAAGTATAATATAAAACGATACTTTAAGGTAAAATTAAGTTGTTATGATTATCACAATATATGAGATTCTCATTTAACTCCTTTAATTAGGGGTGTCCATCGGGCGGGACAGGCGGGTTCTGGTGGGAAAATCAAAAATCCGATCGGATTTCGGATATGAAAACCAATCTCAATTTTTGTATTTTGGATTTCGGATTGCTATGAGTCCGGGTTGGTCGGGTTTTGGGTTGAGGTAATATCGTAATTTGGACGTACCATCAAATTGCAATGTCGTATGTGTTAGAACAAAGGACAAAATAAATATTAGCATAAAATAAAAACAACCAATCAAATATGATACGTTGTTTATTTGTTTACGTTATCTTTTTCATTTAGAAACTTCTTGATGTAACACCCGAACTTAAAATAATAACGTTGTGATAAAAAGATGTCATAAAATATTGCAATTTTAGGATAAGTGGTTGGTTTCGGTGGTGTTAAATTTGAACCAAAATTCTCTTTCGGAAAAGAAAGATGGAGAGAGGTGGTCGAGAAAAAGAAGAAGAAGAAGAAGAAGCAACAATGGAATCGATAAGCCTGCTTTCACCATACGATATGACCATCTTCCGTCTTTCTCACAGGTAATCGATCGTCGTATCTTTATTCCTGATCTCGATCAAATTTTCAGTTTCTAACTCAATTTTTTTAAATGGAACTTAGAAATCTAAAATACTGAAAACATGGATTTTAATCGAGCATAAAACAGTTTGGATCGAATAACAAATGCAGGGTTGTATTGGCACCTTTATCAAGACTAAGATCGTATAACTTCACACCACAACCGCATGCCATTTTGTATTACACGCAAAGAACGACCAAAGGTGGGTTGTTGATCAGTGAAGCATCTGGGATTTCGGATACTGCTCAAGGGTACGAACTTTGTCTTCGTTCCTATTTAATGCAACACAAACGTTTACTTTATACATATTTTACCTTATTAAGGGGTTTTCAGTCTGAATGGTATCGTTTGATTTTGATGTGACATTTTTTTAACATAATCAAGAATTACAAAATAACTTGTCGACTTGATCAAAGTCATAACTAGTTATAAGATCTACCTGTTATTGGTCAAAATGGATATAAATAAAAAGAATAGAACGTTTGTTGCACCCTCCACTACCAAACAAGGCTCTTTTTCCGGCGGATAGATAGACTTTCCAGCGGATAGGACCGCCGGAAATAGAGGCATCGGCGATTAATTTTCGCTACTAACATCCATTAAAGCGTAATTCGTGTTTGTAAGAAGACATGTATTGCATATGAGCATGTGGTGTGTATTGAGCTCAACTAATACCCGTTAAACTTAAATCATACTTTTTTTAATAGTTTTTAAAATCCAATAATAACAATGACATTGGATAATATGTTGTATATAGACATGTATTGCATACATGTGTGTGTATGTTGGACTCGATAAGAGAATTATTATCCATTATACATTCCATAGGAATATGTGCAATATTTTACATATATATATAAAAAAATATTAAAAATCCGCTGAAAATTGTCCGCCGAAAATCCGTCGGAAAATCAATAATTTTTAATTTAAATATCCTGAATAATTATTATTTTAATTTACCGGCGCCACCAGCATCTGCCGGAAATCCTCCGGAAATTTAAAATTAATAAATTTTAATTTGTAATTATTTTCCGACGGATTATCGGCAGAGGTTATCTTAAAAAATTAATAAAAAATCTGCTGGAAATCCACCGGTAAATTATTGTAATTAGAGTTAATAATTTTGTAAAAAAATAATTTGTAAGATCTGCCGGAATATATTTAACGGCGGATTTTCCGGCGGAATTCAACTGAAGTTGACTTTTTTGTTGTCCGCCGTAATCTTTGGGCGGATTTTCTCCACCCGAAATACCCAGTTTTCTAGTAGTGCTTGGCCGTGGAGCTCAGTTGGCGAAGGACTGGAGCGACTTAGCTCAGATACACAACCGGTTCAAATTCGAAATTCTACAAAGTGGAGCTTGAACTCCTCCACTAGCCTCAGCCGCGAGTAAATTTTGAAATGTCTCCTCAGATGTGGTTCCTATGAACAGGTCCCGTATGGGACCCGTGGAAGTTGCCAGTAATCAACCTTTTGTTCGAATAGAATGTTTGTTGCATTAGTTCCGAAAAATGAAAATAAAACTAAAACAAACTTCATTGCATTTTGATGATTTTAAACTTGTTTTTAATGCTACAAGATTACCAAACACACCTGGGATTTGGAAGAAGGAGCATGTAGAAGCTTGGAAACCCATTGTTGATGGTGTTCATAACAATGGAGGAATCTTCTTCTGCCAACTTTGGCATTCTGGCAGAGTTTCCAACACTAGTAAGTAATGATGCCCATAGACCGGTCCGTCCAAATACGGCAAAAACCCTATCTGGTTCAGACCGGTCCGAGTCTGGCCAGAGCACAGTCTGGCCAGACCGATCCGAGTCTGAAAAACCCCAGGACGAGTCCGTGCTCGGCACAACAATGCGTTTTTGGATAGTTTATCATTCACAAGTGTACAACTCGATAAAGCGTTTTGTACCCTGCTGCTAATCCGAATCCGGTTTCTTCTTTTGTTTCCTGGCATGTAGGTTATCAGCCCAACGGTCAGTCTCCGATCTCCAGCACCGACAAGCCAATTTCCACACACTTGTTTATCGGTGGTGGTTCTGGAGGTGACAATGCTCCCTATTCACCTCCACACAGATTAACCATCGACGAAATCTCCCAAGTCGTTAATGACTTCCTAATCGCTGCAAGAAACGCAATCGAAGCAGGTTTTGATGGTGTCGAGATCCACGGGGCAAACGGATACTTAATCGATCAGTTCATGAAAGATCAAGTAAACGATCGGGACGATCGATACGGCGGGAGTCTAGAGAATCGTTGCCGGTTTCCGCTTGAAATCGTTGAAGCAATCTCAAACGAGATCGGATCCGAGAGAGTCGGAATGAGGCTGTCTCCGTTCGCTGACTACAACGAATGCGGTGACACAGATCCCCACTCGCTAGGCATTTTCATGGCTGAGTCGCTGAGTAAACTCGGAATCGCTTATTGCCATGTGATTGAACCACGAATGGTGACTCAGTTTGAGAAGGTAGAGACTCGGAACACTTTGGTGTCGATGCGGAAGGCGTTTGCAGGTACTTTCATCGTTGCTGGCGGGTATCACGATCGAAATGAAGCAAATTGTGTGGTTGAAAATGGGGATGCGGATCTCGTAGCGTTCGGACGTGCATTCTTGGCCAACCCCGACTTACCTCGAAGGTTTAGGCTCAAAGCTCAGCTAAACAAGTACGATAGAAGCACATTCTATACCGATGATCCCGTAGTTGGATACACTGATTACCCATTTCTCGATGATTAGATACACCTAAATATTTGGAATGTATTCAAAGTTCAAAATGGCGCGAGGCGTAGCATGACAACGTCATGCCTCAAACCTTAGGAGTCACGGCTAGGTCGCGTCGGTTTTTAAGGCGTGACTTATGACGACAAATCTTTTTATCATATAAATTATTATACATATAAACATATATTTCCTATTATTACTCAGTGAGTCAATGATATTAAATATTTAAAATTAAAATATACATTAGAAACTAACAAATAACACATTAAAAAAGTAGGAAAAATTAAATATTTCGTTATAAAAACCGCATATTAGGTCATAGCATTCCACATACATAACATTGCGTGAGACACAAACCTTAAGCTACAACGCGTCACGATAGCTGTTGCGATAGCGCGACGATCTTTTTCTAAGGTTTCAATTTTAATAATGTTCCAATTTCCTTAATAAACAATTTGAAAGGATGTTGAGTCGTTGACTTTTTGATCTCTTTTTTTTCTAATTTTTTAATTTATCCATTTAATTATTGTCAATAAAATATAACGAAATTTAATTTAACACCATAAATTGGTTGTAAATTTGACTTCGACATAATTCCAAATTGAGCTTCAATTCGCCTTGTCTGATCATATCTTCTTCAAAAATCACATTGAAAATAAAAAATCGTTGATGTTCTTATAAGACTCGAACATGTGATCTTTGAAAACGATTCTCAAAGATCCGAGCTTTACGTTCTTCTCACGTGTTTCTTTATTTTTAAAGTATCTTTCTGTTCAATTCTTTATATATAGATAATAGTTTTTTTTAATGATCTGAAATATACCACTACAAAACTGCAGAGTATGAGCAAGGGAAATCCGCCACTAAAAGGGTAATCCGTCGATGATACTCTGTCGGTCAAATGCTCGTAGGTAATGCTATCAGCGACGGATATCAACGACGGAATTGCAAGAGATACTTTCAGCGACGGATCAGCGAGGAAAATAATTAGCGACGGATTAGCGAAGGATCTGCGAGGGAACTTTTAGCGACGGATCTGCGAGGGAATTTTCAGCGACGAATCTGCGAGGGATTCTTCAGCGACGGATCTGCGAGGGAACCTTCAGCGACGGATCTGTGAGGGAACCTTCAGCGGCGGATCTACGAGGGATTCTTCAGCGACGGATCAACGAGAGAATTTTCAAGGACTTTCAGCGATGGAATTTTCCTTGCTAATTCGTCGCTAATTTGTATAAATCTAAAAAATATTTTTTTTTAAATTACATAATTCATGTATTTATTTATACAAAACCTGAAAATAATATAACAAACCAAAACTGTGAACAAATTAAAACTAACCAATTCATACAATTTAAAATATGGATTCATACAATTTAATCTTCAAATACATACAATCTAACTATCGGGAGGTGGGGGAGGTGGGAAAATGTATCCTGACTGCCGCATAAACGCAGTAAAATTCTCCGATAATGCGGCCTGTTGGGCTAATGCAGCAGCTTGTCTGGCCTGTTCGGCCTCCAAATCTGCCCTCTTCTTCCGTTCGATCGCCAGTTCCTCTTCTACCCTTGCCAACTTTTCTCTCAACTCCGTTACCTGTAAATATTCAATATTCAATAAAATCAGTAATTTTTTTGCAATTTTAGTAATGAGAAAGTTTATAACAATATAACAAACATACCTCCGCTCTTGACTCGTATGATGACCCGCTACTGCTATATCTACCCGTCATAGCATAAGAGGGATCCTGGGTGGTCCCGAAACCAAATATTCGGCCTTTCCTCTGTCATCCGACACTTTGCTCCCAAAGAGATGCCTCATCAGGGGGAGGGCTGTCGGTACTAGATTGTGACTCACCCCTAAGCAATTGAAATCGCTCCTATGGTTCACCAAAACAAAAACGGGTGAGGTTATGTATGTAGATATTTCAGCAGCATAACGACTGTAAATCAAACATAACCATTGTCTGTTTTTAACAACTAAGCATTCTAATAATACCAATGTTCGAAGTCACATTCTCAACCTATTTGCTTAGCCTAACGTCTGCCCAACAATGGCAGCCCAAACTAATAGCATCACTATGTTTATTAAAATATATTACCTTAAACCTACCAAACGTATCTATTAAACAAAGTAATGGTTTTAGAAAACTTACATGATACCTAGCAGCTTTGGGGTAACTGAACTGAGGAGGATCGGTAGGTGGGTCGGACGAACCTTGATTGAACTTTCGGTTCGTGCAGTGAGTGCGCTCAAACACCTCAGTAGCAGTCGGCTCATGACCCATTACTTGTGCCTACGTTAGACAATTAGGTTAAGTTGTTAGTAAACATAAAGAACGAATTATATTTTCAAAAAGTTATATACTCACCATCCTGTCTCGATGTTGTGCAGTACTAATCGATGTTTGCTCTTCCCATGTCATGGCATCATGTACCATCTGATCGTTCACCATTTGGAAATAATCTTCATTATGATCCACTATAGGATTAGAAGATTGACCCACGTCTTGATGAGATGCATGGCAATAGGTTTCGCCGTGTCCCCACCAAATGGTATAATCAAGCATGAAACCATATTTCATCAAGTGCAGTTTCACGTCTTCTCTTTCTCTATAGGCTACGTTTCGACACTTGGAGCAAGGACATCTTATGTGGAACACGATCCCATCACGTGTAGTTGCCCTTTCAACAAAATCTTCATTGGCATAAACAATGTCCAAAAAACCTTCCAAGTGTCTGACATAGGTCCGACTAAGAGCCCCTCGATCATCATTCTTTCTATACATCCATCCTCTATATGTTGACATATTCAATAACTACAACAAAGAAAGAAGTAGTTAGTCGACATAATCAACGTAGAGGTTTAGAGGAGTTTCAGATGACTTTAAAACTATAAGTGTAACGGTTTGACTACTTGAAAGTCAAACCGTAGGTGCGAATGAAATTGGCAGTCCTTGAACGAGTTGAGAAACCTACATGTAAAGTTTTGACTATTAGAAAGTCAAACCGTAGGCTTAGAGGAGTTTTGGATGACTTTAAAACTCTAAGTGTAACAGTTTGACTACTTGAAAGTCAAAACCGTAGGTGTGAATGAAATTGGCGGTCTTTGAACAAGTTGAGAAGCCTACATTTAAAGTTTTGACTACTTGAAAGTCAAATCGTAGGTTTAGAAGAGTTCCGGATGACTTTAAAACTCTAAGTGTAACGGTTTGACTACTTGAAAGTCAAGCCGTAGGTGTGAATGAAATAGGCGGTCTTTGAATGAGTTGAGAAGCTTACATGTAAAGTTTTGAGTAATAGAAAGTCAAACCGTAGGTTTAGAGGAGTTTCGGATTACTTTAAAACTCTAAGTGTAAAGGTTTGAATGAGTAGATAAACCTATGTTTTTAAAATTTCATCGTCATAACGTCTATAAAATGAATATTTCCAAATGAATTAAGCTTAATGTTTGCCCAACAATTGGCAACTCAACTACAAATATATATAATCAAGTCTAATGTTTGCCCAACAATTCACAACCCAACTATAAATATATATATATAATCAAGCCTAATGTTTGCCCAACAATTAACAACCCAACTACAAATAACAAATTTAATTAATATTTTATTAAATTGTGTGTTTTGAGTTGAGAGACAATGACTTCCTTCCGATATGAGTGAAATCTCAAAGCATTGTTATATACCGCAAGGAAACAAACCAAACCGATTAATAAAGAAGAGCATTGTTATATACTTGGGAATTTGGCACAAATGAAATAAAATCATTTTATACTTGGGAATTTTATGAACTTGACACGTGTCCATCTACACAAGACAAACCCCTTATGATCCTACGGCTATTATCATTGTTCTTCTTTTCCTTGTGTGCGGCGCTGCGCATGTTATGACACCCACATCCCAGATCTCCCCCTTTCCCCTTGCCCAACCAACCATGAGATTCTTGTGAGAGTTCAATTGGGGGAGTACTAATAGCACCCCTTTTCATGTCAGAATCAGGTCATTCAAGCATTGGAAATGTAAAAAGCATGTATTGATGTTGATGTGTGTGAGAAAGAAATTCATGGATAGGGGTGCATTAAGCAATGCATAGGGTGCATTTAGCCCACCCCTTCAATTGGTATGAAGGGGCAGAGCAACGGCGGTAGAGGGGTTTGTTCACCGGAGAGAGGGGGTGCGCAGGATAAGAGGGGTTTGTTCACCGGAGAGAGGGGGTGCGCGGTGGCTATAACAGCAACACCACGATGAAAATTTTCTTTAGATTTGAAGTTTCTGAAAATTTTCTAAATTTTTCGTTTAAACACCAAGATGCATAAATCATAAGTGAGTTTGAACAAAAAGTAAGAAACAGAAGAGAAACACAAATCACACAAACCTTAACACGATCTGGACAACGAGGACGGCGGTGGTCGGCTCCCTCTCTCTCAATCTCTCAAACGCGAAGTGAGCTCCCCCAACTCTCTCAATCTCTCAAACACGATCTGGACTCTGGAGTGGAGGCGTGAGCTAGTGTTAATATATGGATATCAGCGACGGATTTCCGAGGGAAATTCCGTCGCTAAAAAGGTAATTTTTATTATTATTATTTAATTTATTAAATTATTTTTTAATTAATAACTATAAATTTAATTAATTATTAATTATGAAACTGAATAAATTCCATTAAGGCCCAAAAAACTCATTCTCTCGTTGATTCATTACAGATCAACGAGGGATTGAGTTTTTGGCTTTTCCTTCCTGAATCTCACGTAGATTTACGAGGGATCAACGAGAGAATAAGTTTTTGGCATTTCCCTCGTTCATCCCTCGCTGATCTACGACGGATTTTTTCTCTTGCTGATATTCGTCTCTAATACATGATTTTCTAGTAGTATGGAAATATTTAATTATATTATCATAAACAATAACAAAATAATATAATTTTTTATGTACTCATTCTTTTATTAGAAAATATATAGTTTTATTAAATCAAAAAAACTAAATTATCAAAAAAAATAAGCCAAAAAAGATATTTAATCAACTAAAAAGGAAAAATAAATCAAAAAGACTAGAATACTCCTAAATTAATGGAGTATTTTTAACATGTTTAGTCTCGGGAATGAAAACAACAATAAATTACTTACCATATAGGTGAAAATCGTAATTTCAAAACCATAAGAACGAAAACAGCAATATTTCTCAAGTATTAAGAACAAAAATTGCAATCTTTCTAAAAAAATAACGTCGAATATAAGCAGATAATTTAGCGTTAAACATGGAAGAGCAGAAATAATGCAATTGTTTTCATAACAGATTATATTTTTATATTATTAGTTAGATATTGGGAGATTCAAATAAGAATGCTAGGTATCGTTAGAAGGTAAGAAATAAAGGTTAATTCATATGTGAATCATTACAAAAATCCATTTAAAATTGCATATGTGAATCTATATAGATATGAATAATATGTAATGTTGGTTCACATATGAATGTTGAAATAAACTTTTGCTAATCTTTACTTGTGTTTAACACAGCTTTATCATTGATAATGGCTACTACATGCGTTCAACGACATCGATGTCTTTGTAAGCTTTAAAGGTGAAGATATCCGTAAAAGCTTCATGGGTCATCTATTCAAAGATTTTGAACAAAAAGGAATCCAGTTGTTTAGAGATGATAATGATGTCTATCTTGGGGAAAATATATCTTCTCAACTTGACAAAGTCATTGAAGAATCAAGATTTTTGATCGTTATCTTATCTAAAAATTATGCATCTTCTTCATCATGTTTGAGGGAACTTGTAAAAATCCTTGAGTGCAAGCGAATGGGAGACCACAAGCATGAGGTTCGAATCATCTTTTCCGATGTGAAGCTTGATGTGGAGAGGAAATAAAGTGGGAGCCATGCGGAAATGTTTGCCAAACATGAAATTTCAAATGGATCGAAGGTGGCTAAATGGAAGGAAGCTTTATACATGGCAACAAACTTATCAGGATGGGATCTCCAAGATGTGGCGAATGGGTAAATGTGTTATATACAGCTTTACGTACTATAATGGTTTTTTTTCTCTTGTCGAGTTAATAAGGGGCCATATAATTTGAATTTCATTAAGTAGGTGATTTTCTCCCAAACCAATTAGTCTATTAGCTTTATTAAAGCTCACCCTATATATTTTTGGTTAACAGGTATGAGTTCAAGTTCGTTGATAACATCTCCAAAGGAATCCTCAACGTGTTATGTCATGAACCCTTGCATGTTGGTGAAAACCTTGTAGGGAACTTGTTGCGCTTTGTTGGGTCAAAGAAGGTTCACATGATCGGAATATGTGGTATTAGCGGAATAGGGAAGACAACCCTTGCCAAATGCAACTTCTTGGTAAAATCATGAGAACAAGAGTTGTAAAGATATCAAATGTTAGTGAAGGAATAAAGCAGAGGATGCCAACTAAGCCGATCCTACTTGTTCTAGATGATGGGGATCATCGCGAACAATTAGAAGCACTAGCAGGTTCACGTATTTGGTTTTCCCCTGGAAGTTTTATTATTTTTACTGGTAAAGACAAACAACTCTTAAGGTCTCATAAAGTGGATGAAATTTATGACATGCCATTTTTACCAAATTATAAAGCTTTTGCTTTTGGCAAAAAAAACATCCTATAGAGCATTTCATAGGGTTCTCTGATCAAGTGGTGGACAGTTTGCAAGGGCACCCATTGGCTCTCAAAGTGTTGAGTCGTTTTTTGTATGAGAAGTCTATAAACGTGTGGGAAGGTGAACTAGATGAACTTCGAACATACCCTGATGTAGAGATACAGCAAAAACTACGACCAAGTTTTGATGGGCTAGACTTCAATCGAAAAAGAATCTTTCTTGTCATCGCAGTCTCATTCATAGGGGAAAATAAAGATTTTGTGGCGAGTGTACTAGGCAAAGAAAATTCTTTTGCATATGCTGATATGGAAGTTCTAGTTAATAAGTCCCTTATTACAATATCTCGAGATGATAATTCACTTCAAATGCATGACTTGATTCGAAGCATGGCAAGGTGCATTACATGAAGAATCTGTTGCCGGGAGCATACTATGGAATTTACCAGAGGTTTGTAATCTATTGAGTAAAAGTAAGTATGAATTGGCATATGGTACTTTTTTGCTACGTAAATACATAGTATAAGAAATTAAATTGCACATGTTATTCGTTTCCGTATAAGCTATATGTTTCCATAATACGTGACAGTTTTATTACTTGTATCTAGCCATACCCGAGCTTCCTTCTTTTGTATTCTCTCGATGCAACCTTCAAGTATTGGAATTTGGTCGACATGATAAGATCCGGTCTAAACATTGTACTTCAATTTCTCAGATTTCATGGTTACCAGGTAAGATCTAGCATCCCCAAAGTTATACAACACGTATAGATACAAGTTATCAATTCCCGTGAAAACGTACATGAATTTGCTATATATTAGGCACTTTGAGCAATAAGTATCCTAGTTCCGACCTATATCCAATCAAACCCGCAATGACCACTTTTAATCGAAACCATGATTTGAATGGCTTTGTTTTTTCTATTATGATTTAAAATCGTATTGAGCTTTGTGTTAATAATAAAAAGAATATCAGCAAATGAACACAACTTGGATTTGGAAGAAGGATCATGTAGAATGCAATCAGATATATTTTGATCTTAATGTTTTGTTTTATTATTTATCTCCATCGATGTTTATATGATTTTGAGAACTCGATAATGTTTTTTATTTTTAAATAAAGTATAAATTTGAAGATATCATAAAAATCTGAATAAAAATATATTGATATTAGTATCAAGTTATCCATTCAAAAGTTCTTGTTTTTTTTTTTTGTTATTTCTTTAATTCAATTTTTTATTACTAAAAGGGTACTCGTGCAATACAGCGAGATAAATCTCGATTTTAATGTTTAGTTTTTATTCTTTATCTCCATCGATATAATACGATTTTATGTAGTTTTGAGAAATCGATAATGTTTTTATTTTTGAATGAAATACAAATTTGCATATAATTTTGAAAATAAACAAATCGATATTAGTATCAAATTAACTATTTAATAGTTCTCGTTTCTTTGGTATAAGTTCTTTAATTCAATTTTTTTTATTATAATTCAATTTATATTAATAAAGTAATTTATTTTTGGTTTAATAATATACTTTTTTATAAAGATAATAATTGAACATTATGTTAGAACTCAAAGATTATCATAATTATATTTTATATTTTCTATGTTTAAAATTGATGTTTATCCTGTATTTGATTATGTTTATCTGCAGTTAGTTATACAAATTTAAAAATAGAGATTTAATTAGTTGTACTTATGCAAAATTAGTTGTACTCTTGAATTCTAAGTAATATGCATCAATAAACAATACTTTTTGCATAAAAAATAGTTTTTAAGAGTTTTCGTCAAATACTTTATAATATTGTATAGATATAGATAATCTAATTTAAGTTTAATAACAAAGTAATTTATTTTTGGTTTAATAATATAAAAATAATAATTAAGTATTTAATTAGAACTCAATGATTATTCTAATTATATTTTAGATTTTTTATATTTAAAATGAGATATTTATCATGTATTTGATTATGTTTATCTACAGTTATTTACACGAATTCAAACATGGAGCTTTCATAAGTTGTACTTACGCACAATCTACTTGTAATCTTGAATTTTAAGTAACATGCATCAATAAACAGTATTTTATACATAAAAAATAGTTTTTAAGATTTTTTGTCAAATATTTTATAATATAGTATAGATATAGATAATCAAATATTTACAGATAATTAATTGAAGCCATCGTTAATTAGTTGGCAGATAAATTCAAATATTTTTTAGTGATAAATTATCCTAAATTTTAGTTTAGAGTTCGTATTTGTATAAGCATATCCAGGAAGCAAATCTATAAATGCCATTAACCTCACAATTCACGGTTTTTAGTTTATGATGGGGAATCTTAATCAAACACCCCTACTAAATTCCCAAAACCCTAATCAAGATGAAGACGAAGAAGACGCATTTACCTGTGAAATTTGCAGTGAACCAGCCAACACCAAATTCAAGAACGACCACAAATGCATCCACCCCTTTTGCACCGATTGTATGATCAAATACATCCAAATGAAGCTTGATGACAACTTATCAGACATCAAATGCCCGGCTATGGCCTGCAATCACTCTCTCGAACCCTTATCATGTCGTCCCAAAATTGCACGCCAACTATTCGATAAATGGTGCGATGTATTATGTGAATCGGCGGTGCTAAAGCTTGACAGGGTTTACTGCCCTAACCAAGACTGTTCGGAATTGATTGTGAACGAGTGCGGTGAGCGTGATTTGAAGAGATGTTTGTGCCCTAATTGCATGAAACCGTTTTGTTTCTGGTGCAAGGTTCCATGGCACGCTGGGTATATGTGTGAGGAGAGTGGGGAGACAAGGGATGAAAACGATGTCGCTTTTGGTGTTCTTGCGGAGAGGAAAGGATGGATCAGGTGCCCGACGTGCCAGCATTTTGTTGAGCTTGCCGATGGTTGCACCATTGTTCGTTGCAGGTTGGTTCTCCTTCCTAAACACACTTCATTTACAATCTTTTAAACATAAATTAAACAATTTAAGGGCCATTTACTAGACGTTTACTGGTTAAATGTTTATCAAGTCACATTACCTTACCAGATGAATATGGTAAGGACCAAGAATCTTACCCTCTAAGATCGAGACAAGGACTAAAAGTCTTATTCAATAAATAACGGCAACGATTCTTACCACAGTAAGTGTTTCCCGGGTAAATTGTTGCATATAATGCCGTTTTTGTGGACTAAAGTCTTATCCGGTAAGTAAGTGGTAGTGTTAAATTTACCTGTAAACGTTTACCGGATAAGTGTTTGGTAAATGGTCCCTTAGTTATAAACTAAATCCATCAATGTCGGGGTTCTTTGTTTGTGTGTGTTGTAAAATTTTGATAAATCTTAACCTAATTTGTTTATTTGCTACAAAAGCATCTCTAACAACTATTTTAAAATAGTAATTTTAATGGTTTTAAAGATTTTTTTTTCTGCAACCGATATGGTATAATGTATGTTAAATAGACGAAAAAAATTGGATGAAAATCTATGAATTTAAAGAAATCTCTAACATCTAAATCTTTCCCACCAAAGACCTTCCAGCCTAGTGGTAAATGCTTGTTTATAGCATAGTCATGAACCCGAGTTCAAACCTGAGAGGGGAGTGTTGGCGACATTTAAGTGGGGCCATGTTTAGCCTTCAAATTTGCCGGGGATTAGTCGGGCTTTGGCCCGGACACCCTTAAAAAAAAGAATTATTGAATTTAAATATTTAGAAGAAAATAATTTTTTTTATTAGGTGCATCAAATATGTTTAAAATATAATTAATCTTAAAAAAAAAGAGGATGAAAATCTCCAACTTCGAAGATACCTCTAAAATCTAAATCTTTCCCACTAATAAGAATCATTGAATTTAAATATTTAAGAAAATAATTTTTTTTTATTAATTGTTTAAAATATAATTAATGTTATAGGGGATGAAAATCTATAAATTCAAAGAAATTTCTAAAATCTAAATCTTTCCCACCAATAAAAATCACTGAAATTAAATATCTATGAGAGAAAATAAATTTTTGTATTAAATGTATCAAATATGTTTAAAATATAATTAATGATAGAGTTTTTATAATATAATATTCGATGAAGTTAGATGTAATTTTATTTTGAGAATTTGATTTTTGATACTGTATTTTAGAATATATATATATATATATATATATATATAATAGAGTTGTTGAAGATCATCTAAAAACATCAATTTTATCCCGTTGATTCCTTTGTTCGTTTTCGCTCAATGACTTTCTACCATCTTTTCAAATGGTGATATTAGAAAAATATTAGCTATAAAGTAACAAACCGTATAAGGAATCAACTAGTTTGAAAGTAAGTTGAAATATACATAAATGGTTACAATTTGAGGAGTTGTTTGATTTAGGCTGGTATTAAATAATAATCAATAAAAGTGATGATAAAAGAAACGGTTTCTTTTTATCAGTATTTGAATTATAATTTTTAATCACATCTGTTATAGTAATTATTAATTATACTATTAAACCGATAATTAAACGTGCCCTATCTATACTATATTATAAAGCATTTGACAAAAACTATTAGAAACTATTGTTTATACATTAAATATTGTATATTGATGTATTTAAAATTCAAGATTATAAGTAAATTATGCGTAAGTACAACTTATTAAATCTCCATGTTTGAATTCGTGTAACTAACTGTGGATAAATATATAATCAAATAGATGATAAATATCTCATTTTAAAATATAAAAAATCTAAAATATAATTAGGATAATTATCGAGTTTTAACAAAATAATTAATTATTATCTTTATAAGAAAATTATATTATTAAACCAAATATAAATTATTTCGTTATTGAACTTAAATTAAATTATAATAAAATTTGAATTAAAAAATTACACAAAAAAATATGAATTTTAAATAGTTAATTTGATACCATTATCGATATATTTTTGTCAAATTTTTATGATATCTTCAAGTTTATATTTTATTCAAAAATAAAAACATCATCGTTTTTTCAAAATCACATAATACCATACTATAACATCGACTGAGATAAAAAATAAAATGAAATATTAAAATCAAGATGTATCTCACTACATTGTGCGAATACCCTTCTAGTATATTCTAACATATTCAAAAATTACTGGTATTAAATTATCTATTATCCAACTTATCTTAATCACTAATTTTTTTTGAAATGGGTATCCGAGCCAAAGCTCGTCTAATCCCAGACACATCCAAGGTTAAAGCATGCCCCTTTGGTAAATGTCGCACATGATGTGCATAGAGGGATTCAAACCCGGGTTCAGCGCTATGAACTGTCCAGGCACTAACCACTCCACCATAACACTGATTGACTTAATCACTAATTTTATTACAGATGTGGAATTGAATTCTGTTACAGATGTGGAAAAAAAGGAGGTCACAGGCACAGATGCAACAATCAACATCGTAGATTTTTATGGAGGTTATTTTTGTTTGTGTTATTTTTCTTATTTTTATATTTTTGTTATACAAAAAGAGTAATGATAATAGGAATTTTAGTTACAAAATTACTCCATATTTGGGACTCCTGACATCCTATTGAATTTGAATATTTTTTATTTATAAAATAAAAGATGAATTGTGTTTTTTGTTTATTTGTATTAATCATTATTATAAATAAATTTGATGGTATCATTGTATTAGAATATGCTTTGATTAATTTTCATAACTAATAATATTTATTAAAAGGGTATTTATGTAAATATAGCAAAATACATCTTGATTTTAATATTTTATTATTTATCTCTATCAATATTACAATATAATTTTATTAGATTTTGTGAAAACGACAATATTTTTATTTTTTGAATAAAATATAATTTTGAGTATATGAAAAAAAAATCGATATTAATATCAAATTTATCATTTAAAAGTTTTGTTTTTGCAATTTCTTGAATTCAATTTTTTTATTATAATTTAAATAAAGTTTAATAATGAAATAATGTAATTTTTTATACAGATAATAATTAAATATTATGTTAGAACTTAATGATTATTCTAATTATATTTTATATTTTTTATATTTAAAATAATATGTTTATCCTATATTTGATTATGTTTATATGTAGTTTGTTACACGAATTAAAACATGGATCTTTAATAAGTTGTATTTAAGCATAATCTACTTGTAATCTTGAATTTTAAATAATATATATCAATAAACAGTATTTTATACATACAAAATGATTTTAAAGAGTTTTTGACAAATGTTTTATAATATAGTATAAATATATCTTTTTGGATATGTTTTCATCTTATATATATGCTCTTTAATTACTAAGCACTAATTACTTCAAAAAAAAACTTACTAAGCACTAATTAGATAATAAATGTTCACCCTATCAAAAAATTAATGACCGTGTTTATCAACAATTTTGTTGTATTAATTGAAAGCAAGATTTTTATTTTTTTTATTTAAAGTAATTTAAAGACAATTGAAATTCAAATGAAATAGAATTAAAAATGTTATTATTTTTTTTAGAAACAACAATGTTTATTAAGAGACCATCAAAGGCTAGCAAGAGACTAGCACTTACAACAAAGCCGTTAAAGGGCTGATACACCAAGCATTCCAATCAAGATTATTACAAGACTTCGATCTAATTCTAATCCAGTTATACAAAAAAAAGCACGATCTCCTTGGAAATCACCACCGGGATTTTAGAGGTTTGTTGAAAACCAGCGCAATGCGATTCATCCATAACACCCAAATGAACGCCATGAGAATTACTTCCAACGCCTCCTTCACCCTCTTCCCTTTGAAAGGAAATTGCGCTGCAGAAAAAAATTCCGCCAAGTTGGTAGCATGATAAGGAAAACCCGACCACCAATTATTTACATAAGCACCGATCTCCTTTGTAGATGAACAACCAAACAAGAGATGAGCTTTCGTTTCCAGCTGACTTAGACAACAAGGACATAGAATCGAGCTCACCCAGACACCTCTTATGGATTAGTTTAAAACAATGTTATTATTTAATTAATGATTTAGTTTCCTAATAAAACAATTTACAAGGCTTAAAGATTTAGGTATATTTTAGAGTACTTTTAACCGTTCAATCAATCTGATTGGTTTAATTAATTGATTTTTTTTTAAATTTTATTGGTTGTTATCAATGAAATAAAGCTCAAATTGATATAATTAATGGGCTAAACTGACTGGATTATTCACATATTAAGGGACTAGAAGTGTAACTTTTCCCTATAAAGTTGACTTTGACTTAATCCATATATCCATTTTCTATAACATGAGCTTCCATTCTTGTTCAATCCAACCTCCATTTTATCTCCTACTTCACCCAACGATTTTCTTCATCAAAACTGTAAGTTATCAACAGCTTTCTTTTATCTTATTGCTCAAGTGTTTCCTTATCATATCTGTAACATCATCTCCGAACGATTTCGACAAAAGTTTTCATAAGTTCATCGATATCGATTGGTCAAATTTTGATCTAGTTTATGAACTAATGATCAGTAACTGATCAGATAACGATTAGTAGATCTACTCGTTAGCGAGATATCTTTACGCATATAGTAGGTCAATAGATGAACCGTTAAAACCACATGTTTTATTGCTATATCCGAAGCTACTCCATGTATTGTTTATGTCTTTTGTTGCATCTTTTTCATGGCTCGATAGATGTTTTGACAAGCCAATGGTTTTATATTCGTGTTTCAAAATACGGTTAACAAACATGTTAAATTGTTACTTTTAAGCTACTATATTTAATTAATTTCGCTAACCTCCATGCGAACACACAGCTGATCCATTTTTCGTAATGGGTACTACATTGGTTCCTCAACGGTGGACATACAATGCCTTCGTAAGTTTTAGAGGTGAAGATATTCGTAAAAGCTTCATCGACCATTTATTCAAAGATTTTAGGCAAAAGGGAATTCTTGCTTTTAGAGATGACACTCAATTGCCGAGAGGAGAAGAGATATCGTCTGAACTCTACAAGGCCATTGAAGAATCAAGGTTTTTGATAGTTATCTTCTCCAAAAACTATGCCTCTTCAACATGGTGTTTAAGGGAACTTGTAAAAATCCTCGAGTGCAAGCAATTGGGAAAGCACAGACATGAGCTTCGGATTATATTTTATGATGTTAAGCCTAATGTCGTGAGGAAACAAACTGAGAGCTTTGCAGAAGCATTTGACAGATACGAAGTTTCAAACAGAACAGAGGTGGATAAATGGAGAAAAGCTTTATTCATGGCAAGCAACTTATCTGGATGGGATCTCCAAGACATGGTAAATGGGTAAGTGGCTAAACAATTCATATATCATGATGTAGGTGTTCAATCTTCTATCAAACGAAATAATCTAGTAACTAGATCGATCAATAGAATTAACTATTCATTTGTGGTTCTTTTTGTCAACAGCTATGAGTCCAAGCTCGTTGATAGTATCTCCAAAGAAATACTTGAAACGTTATGTGATGGACCCTTGGATGTTGGTGAGAATCTAGTAGGGGTGGATGCTCGCTTAAATAATTTGAAGTTGTTGCGCGTTCTGGGGTCATGTAAGGTTCACATGATTGGAATATGTGGTATTGGTGGAATAGGAAAGACGACATTTGCCAAAGCTATTTATAACCTCATGTATATCCACTTTGAAGAATGTAGCTTTTTGGATGATGTCCAAGGATCCACAAGAAGACATGGACTAGATCATGTTGTAATGCAACTTATTAATGACATCATGAAAACAACAGATGCGAAGATGTCCAACATTAGTCAGAGACTTTTGGAAATGAAGCAGAGAATGGCTTATAGGCGCATCCTACTTGTTCTAGATGGTGTTGATGATTATAAACAACTAGAAGCACTGGCAGGTTCACGTAATTGGTTTTCCCCAGGAAGTTTGATTATTTTCACTTGTAGGGACAAACGATTGCTTGCTCATAAGGTGGATGAATCCTATGATATGGAATTTTTAGACAATGATGAATCTCTTGAGCTCTTCTGTTTGTATGCATTCAGAGAAAAACATCCTGCAGAAGACTTCAAAGAGATTGCTTACAAAGTTGTGAAATATGTGCAAGGTCATCCTCTGGCTCTTAAAGTTTTGGGTTGTTTTTTGTATGGTGAGACTGTGGATGTGTGGATGAGCGAATTGGATAAGCTGCAAACATATCCCCACGCAGACATACAAGAAGTGCTTCGGCTAAGTTTTGATGGATTAGACTCCATTCAACAAAGAGTCTTTCTTGATATTGCAAGTTACCTTGTTGGGCAAAAGAAAGATTTTGCAGCGAGTGTACTAGATAGTTGCAACTTTTTTGCTGATACTAACATCAAAACTCTAGTTGACAGGTCATTAATTACTATTTCTAGCTCTATGTCACTAGAAATGCATAACTTGATTCAATGCATGGCAAAGGAGATTGTTCGTGAAGAATCAAAGTGGGTTGGGGACCGAAGCAGATTGTGGATTCAGTCAGAGGTTTGTGATGTATTGAATAATAACAAGGTAAAAAATGGTCATATGATTCTATTAGATATATAACATCATACACGTATAAGCAACTATAAATGTTTCTTATTTCATGTAAGTTTACAGTCTAATGATCTTATTAACTGTATATAGGTAACAAAAGAAGTTGAAGTTCTAGTCCTTTTGCTAGAAAAATCTAGTGAAAAAGTTAACATGGATAGTAAATCTTTGGCATGTATGAATAATTTGCGGATCCTTCAAGTTTGTTATCTGGAATTGAAAAACTTGGAGCATACAATTGAACGGAATCAATGGAACGAATCTGAGGTGAAATTCGATTTGAAGCTATGGGATGAATCCAAGGTGAAATTCTCTGGAATTCTGGAGTTTTTGTCCAATGAGCTTAGGTTGTTTTATTGGCATGGATGCCCTTTTAAGTTTCTACCATCAGAGTTTTGTCCAGTAAATATTGTTGCCATTGACATGTCTTATAGTCCCATTGAAAGTCTTTGGACAACACCCAAGGTATTTACTTGTTCATACATTTATTTCCCTACTTAACAAGCTAATATTCTAAGCACTTTTGTCTTTGATGTTAGTGTTTTAGAAATTTGAAATTGATGACACTGAGGCACTGCCGTCACCTAAGAAATACACCCGACTTTACCGAGATCACAAATCTTGAAAAGCTAATTCTTGAAGGTTGTATAAATTTGGTTGAAGTCCACCCATCTATTGGAATGCTGAAGAGGCTTGTTGTTTTAAACATGAGAAATTGCCAAAGCCTCAGGAGGTTTCCTTGCAAAGTGGAAATGGATTCTCTTGAAGTTCTTATCATCACGGGTTGCTCAAAAGTGGAAAAATGGCCTAAGGTGTTGGGCACAATCAAGAATTTGATGGAGCTCCGTGTTGATCTAACTTCCATTAATGACATCCCATCTGTTTTATTCTCTCTATGGAACGTTCAAACGTTGTCCCGATGGTGGACTTCAGTTTTTCGACCTTCTAGTATACTAAGTAAATTGCAACATCCCCAAAGCTTCATTTTGCCTTCGTTTTCGGGTTCATGTTTCCTAAGGGAGCTAAATATTAGCTACTGCAATATATCTGAGGTGAACCCCAGCTGCTTTGAAGGCTTATCATGTCTAAAACGTCTAAACCTGAGTGGGAATAATTTTACCAGCTTGCCTGCAAGTTTGAGTCAACTTCCTCAACTTTCATCTCTTCGTGTTGCCAATTGCAAGAAGCTTGAAATGTTGCCAGAACTTCCACCTAGCGTTGCTCATTGTTTTGCAAATGGTTGCACCTCCTTGCGCAAAGTCGATAAACTATCAATCGCGCATCACAGGAAAATGCATATATCTCTCCTCCATTGTCAAAACTTGGTTGACAGCATTGAAATCCTGGTGTCTATGTTGCTGCCTCAGGTTCCCTCTTGACTTGTCTATAACATCTCATGGCTCTTTTAACCATCTTTTTGTGTGCCTTAAATTAGAATGTATGTATTCATATGTGAATCTTGTGTGTGCAGGTATTGAACTACTTGGGAGAAGGTTTTGATGTGTTCTTTCATGGAAATAGAATCCCTCCTTGGTTTACATTTCAAAGCATGGGAGCGTCTATAAGTATCGAGTTACCTGAAGGTTGGTGCTACAAGAAGTTAAGGGGATATGAAGCTTGTGTTGTTTTGACACCTGCGAGGGTTTATAATCCTAAAGTTCAATACAATAGTCTACGTGTGCAGAACTCGAAGGTCGAGTTCGATAACACTGGTGGTGAAACGCTGGAAAGGCATGCGTACTTGATGGCTGATGAGTTTGCGATTGAAGGCGCAAGGATCGATGGGTCGGAGCTGATATGGTTGTTTTATTCAAAGCCTAATTCGGTTTGGATGGAAGCAAAGAAATTGAAAACACTTTGGTTCCATTGTCCCAATTTTACTGTGAAAAAGTGTGGGGTAAGACTTGTTTGGGATGAAGATATACAAGAAGAAATGGATGGAAGTATGTCACAAGATCTCCCAACTTCAGCACAAGATGGTAGTGTCTTCTACCCAGAATCAGATCATGAATTGGCTTTACGAACAAGTGACGATGAGCCTCCATTGAAGAAAATAACTGTGTGGCACCGGTAATAAGCACTTTTGAGTGTTTGGATTAACAACTTATATCGGTGCCAAACCGGTAATAAGGAGTTCTTGAAGAAGTTAAAACCTTCTAACTTATAATAAGTTGATAAATGCTTTTTTAGAAACGCATAAGTTGTTTCGTATAAGCAATCTCAAACACCCCTAAGAAAATATATACATGTTTATCGTATGCCATCAATCATACTCTACTTTACTTTACGGTTTAGTCCTTTCAGGCAAATAAGTTTACAAGAATGCTTATAATACAAATTAGTCTTTTCACTACAACAAAATTGGGTTTATTGGACACTCAATTTCTAAACGTCCTAATATATCTTTTTATAAGACTTAGTTTATAGGACCAAAAAAATAAAACGTCCTATCTAAAAGCGTTGTAATAAGTTTATATGACGTTTTTTGACTTCGTAATAAGTTTTTTGGGACACTTTTAATATAAAGCGTCCATTAGCAATTTTATAGAACACTATTTGAAAAATTGTCCTATAAAAACAAATGTCCTATAAAAAATTGAGTTTATAGGACACTTTCTTAAAAGTGTCCTATAAAGTTGTTAATGCGACACATTATATTAAAAATATTCTAAAAAACTTGTTAAGACGCCCAAAAGCGTCATATAAAATTATTGCAACACCTTTAGATAGGACGCTTTATATTTTTGTCCTATAAATTAAGTCTTATAAAACGGTTTATTGGAACGCTTGGAGATTGAAAGTGTCCTATAAACTCAATTTTGTTGTAGTGTTTGTATAGTAAGTTGATTTTCCATAGGAACATTTTTGACCGCTCATTTTTTTTAAAGTATATAAAATTTATATACTGCAAATGTAACAAATAAATTCACACATCCTCCTCACCTTTGGTGAGGTTTGAACCCCTGACCTCCCTATGAGACCAAAGATTACGATACAGCTAGACCAAAGACCCTTTAGTTCAAATACATTGTTTTTAGCCTATGTTCACAATTGAATGAAAATTGCACGAAAGTCTTGGTATTAGTTTAATTGCCATTAGTTAAGAATAAAAAGCATCCAAAATTTGGAGGTATTGATTAATTATTAGGTAATATAAGTTCATGAAAGTCTCAAAGATAAGCATTATACATTACATGTTATTAAATTATGAATATGGTCATTTTCATGTGAATAAAAAATCAATACAGTACCAAAGGTCCATTAGTCTAGCGGTATCTGAGTATCTTGCCTCCTAGGGAGCTCAGAGTTCAAAATCTCACCAATAATGAGAAGGGTGTGTGAGTTTATTGGTTGCATTTGCCGTATATAAAATATATTATATACTTCAAAAAGAAAATCAATAAAGTAAATGAGGAACGTTGCTGATTATATTATTTTAATCCTTGTGTTTGTAGTTACGCAATAATCTTTATTATCAAAATGCAATAAAAAGACCAAGAAAATGACACCAACTATGTCATCAAGGTACCGTTTCTCATGATTTGGAATCGAAACAAGTAATCTATATCAGAAGTTTATCAGTTGCTCAAATGTTGATCCTTAGACTGTCTAATACGTTGATCATTACTTGGACCAAGTAATTGACCTAATACGTTACTTATCATTACTTAGATTTCTATTTAGATATATATATATATATATATATATATATATATATATATCAAAAGTGTTTCTATGTGATGTACTTGTTGGTGATTTTAGAAGGACTCCCTCAGATATGATACAGAATGGATCTTGTCCTATCCTTATCACATAGATTTCTCTATGAAAAAGACAAACCGGAGTTTGACGAGCTAGAGGGAAGGAGAAGGAGCCCTCGACCCACAATAGATAGAGAAGAATTTATTCAATCACATAGTTTGGGCTCCTAGAATGTGGCGCCCTAGGGGCTTTCTATTTGATTGTATCTAAAGGCCCAATGGATTGGAATTTCCGTGTTGGTCTAGGTCATTTCGGTGCAAGCAGATCATTTATGATGAAAAGGATGAGCTTCAAGAGAATGATTCAGTGTTCTTGTAGAGTGGAACCTTAGTAGACACGATATAGATCTTCCAAAGAACAAACCCTATTTCGAATAAGCCAAATCAACCATTTGGTGTAGTTGTGATTTACTAAGAGATCGATTAAGATGATGAGGTAAACATAAGCAGTAAGGGAGTGTGGAGTACACACTCACAAATGTTGCCCCTATCAAATTAGATCCCCATAAGGTTTTTTTTTTGGGGGGGGGGGGGGGGGAGCTCAAGAGGTTGTGCCCTCTTGTTGGCTTTGAGAGGTAGTGCCCCTTGGCGGTAAGACTGGGATAAAGTAATCAGAGAGCTAATCATCCAGATCAAAGGTCTAAGGGTCGTTGTGAAAATTCGACTAAGTTCTAAGGGTCGTCGTGAAAATTCGACTAAGTGTTTAACTCTGGCCTGTGAGTCCAGATTTATCTATAAGTCTGAATCAGTGGATTCAGAGTCCAGATCTGGACTGCTAATCATACTTGTTCCCATACTAAGTCCTAAGTCTGATTTAGTTATAACTGCTTTTCAATCTTATCTATTAATGGGTTCCAACGTTTAACCGCGATAACTGTTCGTCTCTCTTATAAATACATAATCCGTGATCTGAGTATATATATATATATATATATATATATATATATAGGGAAGGGTTCAAACGAGAACCCCTGTGATTTACGAAAACGTGAGAACAACTCAGTAACCACATATTGTGATAAAAAATAAAATTAAAAAATTTTTAAAATTAAAATTAAAATTTAAAAAGATTCAAAAAA